GGGAATGTTTTAAACAGTCTTCCAAAGCATATTTTTAATGATTATCCAAGTTGTTGGAGTAGGATGGTTACAAATAGGGACTAATAGACCTAATGAATAGAGCATATCAGAACACAAAGAGCATCATGTTTGTTGCCCTAAAAAATTAATTTAGCCATTTTGCAGTTTATATTTTCTCCTCTTTTGTGGACGCTGGCCTTCTAACCCCCTAGTGTTTGATCCTTCCTTATGCACAGAGATTAGGTCCCCATAGCCCATTCTAAATTAGGCTCTGGGCTAGGCCTGTCTTTTCATATTCAGAGATGCAGAATGTTCTTTAGGGCATAAAAGGGAACACAGTTGTTCTCCCTGTCCACCCCTCCCCCCCCACCAAGTCTCCTAGTGGCTCTTTGAACAGCCTTCTTTCTGGCCTCTGCTAGAGGACCATCCTTTGCCTTCTGTTCAGTGTCCAGACATCTTTCTCATCATTCTGAGAGAATACATACAGTGGTGTCTCAGAGAGTGAAGATCAGAACCTGACCAAGTCCACTCAGGGAAATTGAGGATGCTTCTGCTGGGGTCGCAAGTCGGTTTCACTCTGCTTGCCAGCTTCCTGTCGCCTTGAGAGTCGCTGGGCTGTCTGGAACACTCCCTTGGAAAGAATTCTGAGCCTGCTGCCAGGGGACTGGTGAGCAGAGTCGCCAGGGCTTGTGAGCCAGGGCTTGTGAACCGGGTGCGGTGGCTTTTGGGGCGGAACCTGGGTTACTGGAAGGAGCATGTGTGGCATTTGTAATCAAAGGACCCATGACTGAGTGTCAGCTGAAAATGTCATGACCTTGTGTGGGTTTCCCCAAAGTCTGAGAGTCCTCGTCTGTAGAGCGGCGTAACAGTAATCGCACCACATAGGGCAGGCAAAACGTCTTCAGTAATATAAGACAGAATGTGTAGTGGTGGTGGTTTCTTCATTTAATCTATCACCCATGAGGGAGACATGCCAGAAGGATGGCACTGTGGCCTGCAAGGTGAATCAGAAGGACCTCATTGAATTTGGGGCGGGGGGGGGGGATCTTTATAATACATTTTAAAAATCTGCCTACTGGGATAGGCAAACACACATGGAGGGCAGGCCTGAGCACCAAAGGCTGAATAAAAAAAGGAGGCTGAGAGGCCAGACGGACAAGCCAACACATGATTATTCGGACAGCCTGCGAGTACTTTTCCTACCTAAAATCAACCTTGTCATAGTCCTTATTGCTGATAATGACAAGATTTTGTCACCCAGGCTCGAAATTTCAGTCTCCTTTGCTTCTTTTTTTATCCTTGCAGCTCGTCACTTCCTGTGTGTCTGATAATTCCACCTCTACGCGGAAAGGCCTTGAGATTCAAACCTTGACTCTTCCACACGTAGGACCTAAGTAACCTCTCAAACTAATGCCTGAGATGACAATCTGACAGGGTTGTCATGAGATTTAGAGATGAAGTGGATCAGACCCTCATTACTGCTCAGCCAGACTATTGCAGTACTTTCTAGAATGCTTTCCTGCCTCCGTTTTAGCCTCCCAGCCTTTTCTAGCTTGATCTTCCTAACGAGAGCTCTGATCACTTCATATCCTGCCTCAAAAACCTTCATTAACGTTTTGGATAAAGGCTCAAATTCCTCGCCTGGTTTTGAGGACTCGCTGCCATCTGGCCCTAGCCTGCATTTCTGGTCTCATCCCCTAGCACTTTCCTTTTGTCTACTGTGCTTTAACCATATCGAACTGCTTGCTGTTTTCAGCGCAGGCCCCTGTCCCAGTGGCTTTACTCATACTTGAAATTGTTCTTCTCTCTTATTTGTTTGTTTGTTTTGGGGGCGGGGGGCACGGCCTGTGGCTTGCAGGATCTTAGTTTCCCAACCGGGGATTGAACCCAGGCCCCAGCAGTGAAAGCGCCAAGTCCTAACCACTGGACCGCCAGGGAATCCCGAAATTGTTCTTTTCTACACCTCTTGGGTTCCCAAACCTTCTCATCTGTCCAGTCCCTGTCCAAGTGCTCCCAGGTCCACTGCACCTCCCTGCGAACTCTGGTCTCAGCCTCAGGCTTCAGTAGTATCTCTCTCTGACTCTCCATTATTCTTTCTGTGAAGTCTCGCTGTGTTTATGGCTTCATGCTTTGTGTTACTTGGGTGCATGATTTATTTAACCTATTGTGAATCCTGGGAGGCTCTTTCCTAAGCACTTAACAAAGTACCTACTCTAGGAGGCAGCTAGGGGAAGTGGTACGATAAGTCAAGCGGGCAAGGGGGTAATAACAAGTTGACCAAGACTTGACAGGCCCACTGGAACTGGAAGGACAGGAAAGCAGCTGCGTAGCACTGTCTCGGGAGATCTGGGACCAGGTAACTTTCTGATGCCAGCCGAGAGCTTTTATATGGTTCTTGTTGAGGTTTGAAGAGGTAAGGCAACTAATTTGAGTCACTGTTACATGCCAGCTACCCTTCTAGGTGTTTTACATAACTTACTCATTTGAACCCCAAACAGATCACATTCTTTCCTTCCTTAATATTCTCCATTGGCTTCTTGTTGCACTTAGAATAAAACCCAAACTCTGTAACTAGCCCTAAAGGATCCCTAAATCTGGCTTGTATTTTCTAACTGGGTTCACTGCCCTGCCTCACCTAGCCATTTTTCTCTCTTACCCTCTGTACCCCACCCCTTCCTTCATTAAAGCTTCACCCATGAATCCCAAATTTATGTGTTGGTGTTTTGGGGTTTTTTTCCTCCAAACCTTAAAAAACAACCCCATTATGATACAGCAGTAAACACATTGCCTTTGTCTGGTGCTTAACTTTTCAAAACACATTCTTAGGTTATTTTATCTCATTTCAGTACATAATCTTTGGTCTGCCTTTTCCAAAGATAAGAATATAGAGGGAATAGAATGCCAAGAAAACCTGATGATTTGTCAAAGAACTTCTTTGCTAAATCGTCTGCCCGTTGTGGAACTAACTCATACTTTCCTTTAAGCTTCAGATATGTTCTGAAAGCTTTTCTTCAGCTACAGTTTTGCTAATCATACTCGCTTTAAAATGTGCTGTGAAGTTGCTTGGCTCTTTGGAGAGAAACAAGAAACTGGCAGTTCTAGTAGCCACGGTGGGGAGGGTGACCGTCAGATAGGCATGTGGAATCTTCCCAGACCGGGGCACAAACCCGTGTCCCCTGCATCGGCAGGTGGACTCCCAACCACTGCGCCACCAGGGAAGCCCCTAGAGTGGATATTTTGTAAAAGGAATAACCTGACTCCCCATTTGAACCTCTTCTGTAAGTAGGTATTTCCGAATATGATTTTTATAGTAGGAAATGCCTATTGTTACTATTGTTAGCAAAAGAATTTTCTCTATATAAAAGATGAAGGTTATTCATCTTTCTCTCAGTTTTGACAAGAGTGAAACGTAGAGCTCTATCACAAGTTTCTCAGCTTAGAACAAAGGAGAAATAACAACCCAGTCTCAGCCGAGCCTCACCAAACTCCAGAAAACCTGCCCGCCACACCTCTAGCCCTGTCTCAGTTGGTCCATATGTGTATAAGCAGCCCGGGCAGTTAGGAAGAGTAAAGGAAATAGAAATGCAGCAGTGGAATTGTCAATCTCACACTTGGTTGGATGTAAGGGAAAAGGAAGATGGGAAGCCCGAAGATAATCAGGTTTTGAGGAACAACAGGAGATTGAAGAGATTAGGTTTTGGAATTGGTATTCCTGGATCCCAATCCCGTTTCTGCAGTTTGTTACTTGCCTGATCTTGGGCAGCGTTCTTAACCCTGAGCCTCAGTTTTCTCATTTACAAAACAGGGATAATTTTGCACCTACTTCATTAGGTTATTGGAGGGCTTAAGAGAGAAATTCCACATAAAGCACTTAGTGCAGTGCCTGAGTGTTTTCCACTTTTAATTATTAATGGTGATGCTGTTTTGTCAGATAGAGAACAGGAAAGTAGGAGCAGAGGTGGGAGGTGTTAAGGAAGATGGTTTCCACTTTGATGGGGTGAGTTTGAAGTTCCCGAGAGAAATATATTCAGCAGTTTCTAGGAGACAGAAATGGGGGACTAGGATAGAAAGCGGCTTGCCTGTGCTCCTGCAGAAGTAAGGGTCTGCCACTAAGTAGCTTTGCACTCATTCTGTGACACTGCTTCCTGGATGGGCTCAAAGTTCTTATTGTTTGAACCTGTGAAAAATGTTTGGTCGCCTGAACAAGCTCATTAGCATGCGCGTGGCTAGCTGGAGAGTTTTTCCAACCACTGGCGTCAGCGCTGCTGCATGTTTGTTCACTGCTCTAGGGTGCCCGGCCCAGGGGACAGTGAGGTGAAAGCCAACTGCACACCAAGCCGTGTGCCCTTGGCTGCATGAATGGGCTGGCAGTGTCTCTGCCTCAGAAACGTTTGCCTGACGCTTCCCTGGTGGCACAGTGGTTAAGAATCCACCTGCCAATGTAGGGGACACGGGTTCGAGCCCTGGTCTGGGAAGATCCCACATGCTGCGGAGCAACTAAGCCCGGGCGCCACAACTACTGAGCCTGCGCTCTAGAGCCTGCGTGCCACAACTACTGAGTCCGCGTGCCACAACTACTGAGCCTGCGCTCTAGACCCCACAAGCCACAACCACTGAGCCCACGAGCCACAACTACTGAGCCCGTGAGGCACAACTACTAAAGCCCACACTCCTAGAGCTCATGCTCCACAAGAGAAGCCACCGCAACGAGAAGCCCGCGCACCGCAATGAGAAGCCCGCACACCGCAACGAAGAGTAGCCCCCACTCGCTGCGGCTAGAGAAAGCCTGCGTGCAGCAACAAAGACCCAAAGCAGCCAAAAATAAATAAATAAATAATTTTTTTTTTTTTTTAAAAGGAAATGTTTGCCTGCTCCCTCAGTGGGTGGGGCTTCGTGTTGAAAGGCCACCAGCTGTTGAAGTTAAACTCCATGTGGTCAATGTAATGTTCTATTTTAAGGACCATATACTGGGGTTACTTACATTTTTTTCTTTCTTGCAGATCATCAACGCCGTGGTACTGCTGATTCTGTTGAGTGCCCTAGCCGATCCAGATCAGTATCACTTTTCAAGTTCTGAACTCGGGGGTGACTTTGAGTTCATGGACGATGCCAGTAAGTACATCAGACAACTATTGTAGGTAGATATTTTGGTATTTTCAAGGGCAGGGAATCCAGCTGCCAGTTCTTCCTATTAAATTACAAATATTGATTCATGGGCCAATTTGAACTGATACTTAACGCTCTTCCCATCATTACAAGTCAGAACAACAAATATTTACGTGCAGCATGTATTCTGTCTCTGTTCTAAGTGTAAGAGTCTCATTAAAATCTCTTTTGTCTTTCTTTTTTTCATCTTAATGTTAACTCAGCCATTTTTTAAAATTGTTTCTTTGTCATAATCTTTTTATGCTGGGCCTTTTGGCTAGGAGAGGGAGTCAGTGGCAGGAAGGAAGGGTCAAATGATATTACATATCTTATTGTGTCTTCTATTATGTTTCAGTATTTACTGTTCTTCCAGGAGGTGATCATTCTCCATTCTAGAAATCCTTTCGATGATAATTTTGTTGCTTTTTCCAGATAAATAGAAATGCGCACAGGGATGTGGATGTGGGGTGTGCAGAAAGGAGGCTAGGCCCCCAGCTCTAAGATCATGGAAACCTAAACATCATACAACTAAAGTCAAGCTGTGTCCATGCTAACTGAAAGGGGCAGAGCTGTGCACAATCCCAAACAAAAGGTCATGCAAATGTATTTTTCATTGGCTTTGCAGAACTTTCAGTGCATTTAAAAAAAAAAAAAGTGTCTGGAGCAAAGTGAGTAACGTGGAGAGGGGCTGAAGATGCAGTTTTAGGGAATGACTAGGAGCATTCAACAGACAGGGTGAGACTTGTGAAGTTTATTCTCGGAGTGAGAAAACCATTCAGTGGTTTTTAGTAATTCTGCGGTTATGAACTGATCTGTGTTTTCAGAAGATCCCTTTTGTTGCTGAGTAGAGGATACATTTAGGGGACTGGGTGTGTGAGTACAGAGGCCTGGAGACTGGTTTGGGGGGTGTTTCTCTGCGATCCAGGCTACACTGGGGATGGGGAAGAGGGTGGGTTTGGAGGTGGGATTGACAGAACTTCCTGGTATGGGCAGTGAGGGAAAGGGAGGAATCAAAGATGACTACTACTTTTCAACTTGAGTATATATGGTCTGCATCCTTACTGGGGTGAGAGAGTCTAGGGTCAGGAGATGGGAACACACCTTGGAGAAGACTCGACTGATTTTTTTTTTTAATTAATTTACTTATTTTTATATTTATTTTTGGCTGTGTTGGGTCTTCGTTTCTGTGCGAGGGCTTTCTCTAGTTGTGGCAAGCGGGGGCCACTCTTCATGGCGGTGCGCGGGCCTCTCACTATCGCGGCCTCTCTTGTTGCAGAGCACAGGCTCCAGACACGCAGGCTCAGTCGTTGTGGCTCACGGGCCTAGTTGCTCCGCGGCATGTGGGATCTTCCCAGACCGGGGCTCGAACCCGTGTCCCCTGCATTGGCAGGCAGATTCTCAACCACTGCGCCACCAGAGAAGCCCGTTGATTGATTTAAGTGGCTTAGCATAGTTGCTAGGAGTGTGGCTCTGAGGCCAGAGACCGTAGTTTGAAACCTGACCCTGCCATGTGTGAAATGTGATAACATTGGGCTAGTTATGGACGTTTGTGTGGCTTAGTTTCCCCCTCTGAATAGAGGGGTGATTGTAGTCATCTACCTCGTGGGATTGTTGTGATTAAATATGTTAGTGTACGAAAAATGCTTCGAATGGGGTGTGGCCCATAATAAGGGCTCAATGTATTTCACTGTTTTACTCACTGTTCTTAGATATATTAAAGTGGAGAGATTAAAAAGGTAGTTTGATATGTGAACCAGACATCTGGGCGGAGGTAAATTTGAGGACATAAGCTTCAAAATGGTATTTACGTTAGGGAGATAGTAAAGAGACTTTTCCTGAAGGAGCCCTGACATGAGAGGCCAGGAGGAGGAGCCTGAGAAGAGCTGGAAGTGAAGTAAATGCAAAGCCGGGAGGTGCTTTGTGTCCATCATCTCCCACCACCATTGCTTCTAGTAGATACCAAGGCATTGTATCATCCTGGGGTTCGGGACCTTGTCAGACTGAGACATGACTTCTGCTGTAACATTGTTCATTCTCTCTGTTCTCAATAACCCTGTTACCCTGATGAATTCCTCCAGAAAGATAATGAATTCCATTAATATTAAATTAATATCTCTCTGCCTTCCTTCCCCTGAGTTAAAAGACTGTATAACCTCTAAATACAATGTTTGATTGACGTTTAAAAATAAGTTACCTTTCACTGTTTCCAGTAGCAGGATTCCCTTTCTAAGTAATTGAGGTTAGCAAAGAAGTTTTAAATGATTCAGATACAGTTGTGTCTGAATCAAATAGTCACACTGCCTGCCTTTTTCTAATTGCCAGAGATTAAGCTGGGTGGTGAACTGTCTGACAGTATAGGCTTAATTTACCTGACCTCGGAGTCTTACTGGTACTCAAGACCTTACAATAGTAATTGTTTGGTAATGACCTGGATATTAATTCCAGTGCATTTGCAGTTTCTCTGATATTTCATATATTTGAAAGAAGTGAATGAATAGTTTGTAATTACTTTTAGGACTACCTATTGATCATTTAAATTGCATGGTTAAAAAGATACAGAAGGATGAATATTCATTCATGTGAGTGAATCTTTTTTTAACTTTCTTCTTACATTTTCCTTTCATATGTTTTGATCTCTCTCTCTCTCTTTTTTTTTTTTTGGCGGTACACGGGCCTCTCACTGTTGTGGCCTCTCCCGTTGCGGAGCACAGGCTCCGGACGTGCAGGCTCAGCGGCCATGGCTCACGGGCCTAGCTGCTCCGTGGCATGTGGGATCTTCCCGGACCGGGGCACGAACCCGCGTCCCCTGCATCGGCAGGCGGACTCTCAACCACTGCACCACCAGGGAAGCCCTTTGATCTCTTTTTATTTTTTTATTTTTTTTATTTTTATTTTTTTTTTGTGGTACGCGGGCCTCTCACTGTTGTGGCCTCTCCCGTTGCGGAGCACAGGCTCCGGACGCGCAGGCTCAGCGGCCATGGCTCACGGGCCCAGCCGCTCCGCGGCATGTGGGATCTTCCCGGACCGGGGCACGAACCCGTGTCCCCTGCATCGGCAAGCGGACTCTCAACCACTGTGCCACCAGGGAAGCCCTGATCTCTTTTTAAAAAGAACTTTGTAGGTCAAACATCATCATGGCTGACAAACCTTTCTATATTTAACATATATGAGGATACAACTAAATAGTCCTTGAAATGGGTACAATCAATTGCTTTGAATTGTGCTTGAAAGTTATGGTATATAACAATTTTTTTGTTTTGTTTTGTTTTTTGTGGCTTGCGGGATTTTAGTTCCCTGACCAGGGACAGAACACGTGCCCTCGGCAGTGAAAGCGTGGAGCCCTAACCACTGGACATCCAGGGAATTCCCGGTGTATAGAAATTTTAAGTTGATATCTTTTTGGAATGGTGGTAGTCATCTCAAGGTTTTATCCAGAAGGACAGAGCAGGAGTGTATCTCACTTTTCCATGTGATCTTTTCCTAAAATGATCTGGTAGAAGAAAGTCAGATCCCTATGATTTATATTAAAATGGGGCATATAGGAGAATCCACTGGGATAAAGAAAAAAATATAAAGAGTTCTCTTTTTAAAAACACCTATCTCGGGCTTCCCTGGTGGCGCAGTGGTTGGGAGTCCGCCTGCCGATGCAGGGGACGCGGGTTTGTGCCCCGGTCCGGGAGGATCCTACATGCCGCGGAGCGGCTGGGCCCGTGGGCCATGGCCGCTGGGCCTGCGCGTCCGGAGCCTGTGCTCGGCAATGGGAGAGGCCGCGGCAGTGGGAGGCCCGCGTACCGCAAAAAAAAAAAAAAAACAAAAGAAACACCTATCGCTTCAACATTTGTATTTTTACGTAATTTATATACAAAAAATTGTAATATATATTTATAATTTACAAATAAACATATGTATGTAATCAAAAATTGACTATGCTAGGAAAGACTGGGAACTGTCATAGATGGGAGGAAACAAAGGAGATACAACTACATGCAGTACAAGACCCTGGATTAGATTCTGGAATGGAAAAAGGACATGAGGGGGCAAAGAGAAACAGGTAAAATTCAAATAAGTAGACTTCATGAAATTTTATTTGTGAAATTTTAATGGACTGGCAAGGAACTGTAACAGGAAGTGTCAGAGCCAAACATAATGCCAAGCAGATCATCCAAATTAATTTCTGATTCATTTTGTAGCAAAATTGTCATTCAGGGGCTTCCCTGGTGGCACAGTGGTTGAGAATCCGCCTGCCAATGCAGGAGACACGGGTTCGAGCCCCGGTCTGGGAAGATCCCACATGCCGCGGAGCAACTAGGCCCGTGAGCCACAACGACTGAGCCTGCGTGTCTGGAGCCTGTGCTCTGCAACAAGAGAGGCCGCGATAGTGAGAGGCCCGCACACCGCCATGAAGAGTGGCCCCCGCTTGCCACAACTAGAGAAAGCCCTCGCACAGAAACGAAGACTCAACACAGCCATAAATAAATAAATAAATACATTTGGGGAAAAAAAAAAGTTAAAAAAAAATTGTCATTCAAGCCAAACTTACTTTATTCACCTGCCCTGGGGAGGAAATGGCCATAAAAATAATGAAGAATTTGTTTATAGGAACCTGGTTTAGGATAAAAACACTACTGCATTTATTGGAGAAATGATGGTCTTTATAGTCAGTGGTTCTGGGTGAAATCAAGAAGAGAAAAACAGATAACTTCATCAGAGAAGGTATCCATATGACCAATAAGCACATGAAAATATTGTCCACATTATTAGTTGTAAAAGAAATGCAAATTACAAGCACAGTAGTGAATCACTCCACCCCTTCAAAACGGCAACATGAACAGAACTGACAGTGCCACCTGTTGATACGGCTTTGGAACCACTGGATTTCTCAAGCTACAGCTGGGAGTGTAAATCGTTCAACCACTTTGGGAAAACCAAAGCTATATAGATATACATCCACCCTGTGACCCAGCAGT